ATTATTTTTATGTGTTGTCAATTAAAAAATATATTCACATTATATAATAATATAAAATAATAACATCAATATTATTTAATTTGTGTATAAAATTTCCTATACCTTGGTCCTTTCCCTTCTCTCTCCTTCCCCAACATTAAATATCAATATTAAATATAAAGGTATAAGAGTCTTAAAAAAATAGTGCAAATCAAGAAAAAAAGACTTTATGAAATAAAAGTATAAATACATGGTATTAAGTGGATTAAAAAATTTCTTCATAGACTTCTGGGTTAGAAACTTCAAAATGAGATTTATTAATAAAAATCTTTTTTTATTTCATTTTAAAATCCATTAACGAAAAACAGTCTTAATAAAACAACTTCTTAGAGCATCTCCAATAGTTATTGCTATAATTGCCATTGTTATTGCTATAATTTGGCGATGAATAGACTATTTTGCATATTATTAGCAATGGTGCTCCAATGATCATTTGCTATTTTGGCAAATCTCAACCAACTTTCTCCCCAAATTTATAGGTGTTGTTTGGATACAGGTTTTTTTGTTATTTATTTTTGTTTATTTTTTATATTTATGACATTTTTTACCTGTTTGTAAAAAAAAATTATATATTTATATTATTCCCAACTAGATAATATAAAAAATGAAAAAATTTGAAAAATTAGAAGAAAAAAAAAAAATAAATATATGCACCCCACCAAAAAACATATCACTATACTTATCTTGTAATTATTTATTTCAAAAAATATATTTATTTTTTCATTATACTTTATTGAAAAATTTAAATTATATAAAAAATAGTCACAGTATACATTGCAAAAAATAATATTACATTCTTTTGTAGAAAATACTCAAAAATAAAAATAAAAAGAAATTTCACTACAAAATAAAAAAAAAAAATGACATTGCAAATAAAACTGATAATTACATTAAAAAACAAATGACATTGCAAAATTTAAAAAATATATTATCTCGTAATTTATTCATCAGGAGGTAGAGGAAAATAGTAATTTGGGCTACTGACATTTGAGGACCATTTTGTGAAAATTCTCATTTTTTCGCATTGTGTAATACTCTTTCATATGAAGGTCCAAATGAGAAATGTCTGCAGTCATTATCATATGTTCTTCCTTTTCATCTCATGTTCTAGTCTTCTGATCTCAAAGCCATGTTTTTTTCATCTCAAGTTCTTTCAGCTCCTGTGATGCTTGAATCCATTTTTCTTCTCTTTCATCTTTTTTTATTTTCCTTCTTAGTAAGGTATTGGTTAAATGTCTCCAAATTGTATGCTCATTTTTTAGGCTTTAGCTTCAACAACTTGATTTCTCCAAAAATAATTCTTTTGCAGCTTTTCTACCTATAACCTTTTTACCCATTATAGAGACATTGCCCTAACCAACAGTTGGATTGTTACCAACACTTGGGCTGGTGTCATCTTCAGAGAGAAATAAAGTTATCCATAGGAGAATCGGGAGCTGAATTAGGGAAAAATTGTGTATGTATCCTTGACTTTACTGTGTTCGTAAGATCTCCATCTTGCCACTTGATATTGTTTTGCAAGATTGGCCAATGATGTTCAAAAACAAAAATGTCTGTTTTCATCTTGATGGTAGTAACAGTTTTGCTTGAGTATTTATATCAATAAAATATTAATTAATTAATTAGTAATTTATATAAGAGAAAATATAAAAAAATAACATAAATAAATGAAAATGAAATCTTCTATATAAAACTTGTGACATCCCACTTGGATGTAGATTTTTCGACCTTGCGCTAAACACCCACAAAGTTATTGCAACATTTCATGATTACACCCCATCAAGATAAGATAGATACTTATGTTCTTGAGTGATCATTTTGTAGCGAGTAATAATTTTCAAAACTTCTTTCCCAAAAACGAGCATGCGATTGCTAACTTCCAACACCTTGGGTCTTCAGTAATGTGACACCAAGCTCTACAAATTACCACATCTTCTTGAGTAGTGAATGATTTTTCTCTCTTTATTTTTATGAACCTTCCATGCTAATTGTATGAAAAATAAAAAAGAAACTAATAATTGAAGAAAAATAGTTGCTATGAACTCAAATTGGTGAAACAACGTATGTGTATTATACTATTATAAAAATATTACCCTTTTTTTACTTGTTTAATTTATAGCTATGGTGTGTTGTCTGTTTGGAAAAATGGTCGTTTTTTTACTTCCAGATTGAAATAGAGCCGTTGGCTCAATGTTACACATTCCAAGGCACTTACCCCACTATTAGATTATATAGATCCAACGACTGAATTACACCCTATTTCCTTTTCCAAGACACTGCTCTCTTCATTTCCTTTTCCTCATTCTGATTACACCCCATCACTCTATCTCTCTTCTTGTCTATATCTCTTCCTTTTACAAACCCTATTCTTCTTCTCTCTATCTTGAATTAGAGAGCTAATTGGGGGTGAGTTTGGGGGTTTCAAAGAGGTGTTTAGGGATGAGAGAGGAACTTCTTGGCCACAAATCGGAGGGAGGGTTGGTGGTCTTCAGCGGCGGTGTTTGAGAAGATGGACGATCGCCGATTCAGGTACCTTTTCTTCACTTTTCATGTTTGACAGTGATGAAGTCCATGGATTCAGGTACCTTTCCTATGGATTTCATGGATTCTGGTACCTTTCTATAATTCACTTTCTTGTTCATGGATTCAGGATTCATGGATCACCTTGTCTATAAATCACCTTTCTATGGATTCATGGATTCAAATTCTTGGATGAGATAAAGTCCATTGGATTCAGGTACCTTTTCTATAAATCATTTTCTTGTTCGTAGGTGCTGTTGATTTTGTTGAGATTTATTGATTGTTTGAGAGTGATTATTGATTATTGTTGATTTTGTTAATTCTGTAAAAAAAACTTTCCGATTTTGAGTAAATTAAAAAAAAAATTATTGAAATTTTTTTTTTGGTGAATTCTTATTTAAAAAAAAATGGTGAAACAATCCCTGAGAGGGAAGGAGGGAGGAAAACAGTTGGTTTTGGCTGAGTGGCACAAATGGCAACTGCCAAAACTTGTGTGAAATTTGACACAAATTTTGGCATTCTCAAATGGTAGCTGCTATATTCAACCATTGAGTATCAATTTTCAACACTACTGCTATATTATAGCAATGACAGTTCCAATGGCAAAACCATTGGAGATGCTCTTATAAAACCAAAACCCTAAAACAACTCGTTGTAATTTTTTATTTTCTTTCTTTTAATTTTTTTAAAAATAATAATAAAACATTCATTATTTGTAATTTAATTTTTATTTATGTGCTAAAATAACTTTTAAAAAAAATTAAAAATATTTTTGTTTTTTTCTAAAAGTTGGTTTGTAAAATATTCCCAAATGTTTCCAGTAATGATTTGTCAATCAATTTATACATATATATATATATATATATATTTAAATAAATGAAACAAAAAATAGAAAGCAAATACACAACCAATGAATCAAATATGCCCTAGATATTGCTCAATTTTAAAAGGAAAATAAAATAAGTGTTTGATTCCCATCACATCTATGTCAATTATATTGGATCACAATCAAACAAAGCTTAACTCTTAACTTCCATCTCCTTTGAGAAATTTGAGTTTAAATTAATTAAATTATTAATTGGCTGTGAAATGCATCGGATGATTTGGGATTTGTTTATTTTTTAAAAAAAAATGGCTATTTTCATTTTTAATAATTTTTTTTTTCTTAATTTAAAAAAAAAAATTTGCTTGTTTTTGGTTTTCGTTTTCAATAGACTTTTAGATTCAGTTTCAACAAAACATATTAGATATTTTTTTATAAAAAATCAAAGAAGACAAAAATAAATAAAAATAATGGGCGTCACTTTGCTTGTTTTTGGTTTTCCCAAAACACTTTTTAGAAAATTTTACTTTCTTATTTTTCGGTTTTTTTATTTTTACTAAATTTTTTAAATATTTAAGCAATTTTTATTTTTTGGATACACCTAACATAAATACACATAAAAAGTATAATTTTTGTGAAAAAATCTTTTAAAAAATTCACTAAACAACTAAAAATACAAAAAAAAAAAAAAGAGAATTCAGTATATTTTTTTTATTTTTTATGTATTTATTAATTTTAAAAATATTTTTTCACAAATTTTTACTTTTTAGATACATCTAAAGGTGCATCAAAAAAAGTAAAAAAAAAAATACTTGAAATTTTAAAAAATACTCACTTAAAAACAAAAACAAATAAAAAATAAAAAATTTAACTTTAAAAAAATTTAATTCAAAAACTCACAACTAAGACATAATAGAAACAACTAGTAGGCTAGAATCACTTTCGAAGCAGCCGACCCAGCCCATAGCTGGGGGCCGTCAGCCTCGCCTTAGAAGTGTGGGCTGAAAGTGAACCGGTTCATTAAATTCTATTAAAAACAATTTTTTTAATTTTTTTTTATCATAATATAACTTTAATTAATAGTTAAATTACAACGTATACAACCCTCACTTTTTCATTTTTTCCAGGATCACTTGTTAGTATCTAAACAATTCAAAAACGCTTGTTAATGAATTTTAGACAAAACTTTCATTCTTATAGAATATTTCAAAAGTAATGAATTTAAACAATTATAAGTTGTATGCATGTCTTATAATTTTCTTTCCTAGAACCTAAAATTTATTATACATAATTCATATATATCTCTATGATTGATACATCGAGCCAATCACAAAGCATACCTAAATTGTTTAATTGAATCATAACAAATCATAATATTCATAAATATTCCTAACACAACCTACATTTAATTGATCAAATAAAATTTTAATAACTTGGTACAAGAACATAACAAATTTGCTTTGGTACCAAGTTAAAAGAAGTATACTCGAAATAGGTATACTTGAAAATTAGTCTCCAATCCATACAACACAGAGCGAAATCGACAATCAGATCCACCGACTCCCTCCTCTTCTTCTTCTTCTTCTTCTTCTTCTTCTTCTTCTTCTTCTTCTTCTTCTTCTTCTTCTTCTTCTTCTTGGATTAGTCGATTAATGATGGACGTGTCTACCATCTTCAGAAGCTTCAAGAATGTTTCCATGGTGAGCAAGCTATCTGATCCAGCTTGATGGCTTTTCCCAGCCGCACGATCAACACCGAGTGCCTTAGCCACTCTCTCCAATCCACCGTTCAATCCATTGCAATCCCTCATCAAGTGCTTTATATCATACACATTCCCACCAAAGTAAAAATGCACCATAGCCATGAAAGTTTCGAGGTTCTCAGGCAACTCTCTGTGCGTCAACATCTTTATCAAAAACCCGAAATCATATCCACTGTGAAAAGTCACCCATCTCTTCGACGGCCTTTTGTAAACCAGTCCCGACCACAAAAGCATCTTTGCAAACTCTCTCGAATCGATTCCCTCTTCTCTGTTTTTCTTGAAATCAATTCCTTGCCGCTTTAACAGCTTGATCGAATCCGCGTTACGAAGATCATCAGACTCGATGTCGAAGTCTCGGAAATTGAATTGCCACGCGTAACAACTGTCTGTGTACAAGTCGGGAAGGTTGCCTTGATTGTCCGACAGAGTGAGACCCACTTGTATGAGGTTTAACGCGTCCACATTCGATTTCATGAGGAAATAGTTGTCGGAGGGAGACAAACAAGAGTAATGCTTGTCGGAGAAGATGATCGTCCCTGGAAATTCAGTGTCCATTGCCACGTTTGGATAATCATCCAGAACTCGACGAATCAAACCGAACTCAAAACTCAAGTTATCAGCCCAAACATCACGAACAATCACACAACGAGACATTATGAATTTCTGGATTTACAAATTTTTTTATGTATAGAGAGTAGTGTGTGGATGTGTGTATATATAGTAGAGTAGGAGTTTAATAGAAACCTTTTCCTAATAGATTTGGATTTGAAGAAAAATGGAGTTTGATTTAGGAAACTACGGATTTCAAACAAAAAAAAATAGAGTTTGATTTAGGAAACTATGGATTTCAAAAAAAATAAAGCTTGATTTAGGAAACTACCTTATTGACTTGTTTAATTTTCTATAATATCTTAATACTTAACACGTTTTAAGAAAACACATTAATATTCACTTTTTTTAATATATAACGCGTTTCAAGAAAACAGGTTAATACTCACTTCTTCTTTTCTTTTCTTTTTTTGATTCTATTTTGTTTGTCTGTTGAAGTATGGTCTCCTAATTTGATAACTGAGTGTCTAAGTTAATTTATACGCATCTCAATCAATTTTGAAAGATCAATTTCACGGTCTACTTGCGATAGTATATTTAAAGTCAAAGCAAAGTGATTCATCTTGAAATTACGTCAATACTAACTCAATTTATGGAGAAAAAAGAAAAAATAAGAGAGGAAAAAAAAAAAAAAACGGAAACCATTTTGTCTTTTTCCGTTACCTTCATTCTTTTGCCTCCACAAATACTCAAGTCCAACATCCAACCATAGTATTAGGCCTTCGGATATGGAATATGGTGGGATCAAATAGCAGAATTGCAGATGCATTAGATCAAATGCCGTTTTGTGGTTGTGCCGTTGGGGCTGTTTGATGGCTGCATCTATGTGCTAGGGGATTTTTCTACAGCATCGGCCATGAATTGTGTCTACTGTTACGATCTAATTCTAAATCGGTGGACCGAAATGAGTCCAATGTCAATAAGTAGAACTTATTGTAAGACACGTGTCTTAAACAAAAAACTCTATGTTTTTTTTTTTTTTTTGAGGGTTTTTTTTTTTATAAATCCTCTTTTTAAGAGTTTTGTTTCATTCAACTCATATTCTTTTTGACTATTTGAGGTAAGAAGATCAAAACACCCTCAATCTCTCACGCCCTCTATTAATGTTAATATTTAATGTTGATTGTCATTATGTTTTGGCAGTTCCCGTGCATCAGGATGTTAACTGTCATTATATTCATATTAATTTGAAATGAATTTTTATTATTGTGTTGTCAATTACATGATGTGATTCTCCACATCATGTAATTGAAATGAATATTCACATCATTATATTCACAATAATTTGAAATGAATTTTTGTCATTGTGTTGTCAATTACATAATGTGAATATTCATATTAAAAACATATGAATGTGAACGTTCACATCACTACATTAGATGAGAGAGAATGTTCACATGTTGTGAATGTTCACATCACTATATTAGATGAGAAACAATTTTCTGGAAAGGTGCTGTGAACGTTCACATCAAATGAGAAAGAATCTTCACATTATTTTTATGTTTTGTCAATTAAAAATATATTCACATTATATAATAATATAAAATAACAACATCAATATTATTTAATTTGTGTATAAAATTTTCTATGTCTTGGTCCTTTCCCTTCTCTCTCCTCCCCCAACATTAAATATCAATATTAAATATAAAGGTATAAGAGTCTAAAAAAATAGTGCAAATCAAGAAAAAAAACTTTATGAAATAAAAGTATAAATACATGGTATTAAATGGATTAAAAAATTCCTTCATAGACTTCTGGGTTAGAACACTTCTAAATGAGATTTATCAATAAAAATCTTTTTTTATTTTATTTTAAATCCATGAACGAAAACAGTCTTAATTAACAACTTCTTAGAGCATCTCCAATAGTTATTGCTATAATGCCATTGCTATTGCTATAATTTGGCGATGAATAGTACTATTTTGCCAAATTATAACAATGGTGCTCCAATGATCATTTGTTATTTTGGCAAATCTCAACCAACTTTCTCTCCAAATTTGTAGGTGTTGTTTGGATACAGGTTTTTTTGTTATTTTATTTTTGTTTATTTTTTATCTTTTATGACATTTTTTACCTGTTTGTTAAAAAAAATTATATATTTATATTATTCCCAACTAGATAATATAAAAAATGAAAAAAAATTGAAAAATTAGAAGAAAAATAAATAAATATAATGCACCCCACCAAAAAACATATCACTATACTTATCTTGTAATTATTTATTTCAAAAAATATATTTATTTTTTCATTATACTTTATTGAAAAATTTAAATTATAGTAAAAAATAGTCAACATTATACATTGCAAAAATAATATTACATTCTTTTGTAGAAAATACTCAAAAATAAAATAAAAAAGAAATTTCATTACAAAATTAAAAAAAAATGACATTGCAAATAAAGACTGATAATTACATTAAAAAACAAATGACATTGCAAAATTTAAAAATATATTATCTCGTAATTATTCATCAGGAGGTAGAGGAAAATAGTAATTTGGGCAACTGACATTTGAGGACCATTTTGTGAAAATCTCATTTTTTCGCATTGTGTAATACTCTTTCATATGAAGGTCCAAATGAGAAATGTCTGCAGTCACTATCATATGTTCTTCCTTTTTCATCTCATGTTCTTGTCTTCTGATCTCAAAGCCATGTTTTCTCATCTCAAGTTCTTTCAGCTCCTGTGATGGTTGAATCCTTTTTTCTTCTCTTTCATCTTTTTTTTATTTTCCTTCTCAGTAAGGCATTGGTTAAATGTCTCCAATTGTATGCTCATTTTTTAGGCTTTAGCTTCAACGACTTGATTTCTCCAAAATAATTTTTTGCTGCCATCGGCAATCTTTTCTGCCGGTCGGCACCTTTTGTTGCCGATCGGCACTTTTTTTTGTCAAAATGACATTTTTGGGCAGCCGACCACTGTTCATCTACTTTATATGGATATTTTGTGCCAGCTGTGATAGATGGCACCAACTCTGCTTCCCTCCATACACGTGTATGGAGGGATTGCCCTCTGAGTAAGCTTGTTGTATAAGCTTTGCAAGAGGGAGTTCTATAAGAGGAGAAGCCTTCTCTTTGCTCTAGGTTAGAGACTTTGAAGGCAAAACCAGAGCTTCCACATATAGATACACCCTATCTCTATATTTCCTCTCTCTCTCTCCTCCTTTGTGTGTGTTTCTTGGCCTAAAAGTGTGATTTTACCTTACTTTTGCACCAATACACACACTATTACACCTTGCTCCGAGATTGAGGACTTTGAGGGTTGATTCTTGAGTTTTTGGGCTGTTTTTGATCAAAAGAAGGGGGCTGCCTTGGCTGTTCTTGAAGTGTGCTTCAAGGGTGAGCATTTTACTTTAGTTTCCCCAAACTTGCACTAGTCTTTTACCTATCTTACTTGCTGATATAGCTTTTGTGCATAACATAAAAAAGGCTTGTATTTATGCTTTAGAACTTTCATTAAGAGTCTTTCATGGTTTGAGTTCATACTCACCCTCTTAGGCCTTATTTGGCCTTTTTGTTGCCTCTTTGGTAAGGCTTTGTTTGCTTAAGTGTTTTGGTCTTCTCACCACTGAAAACCAGTGGATTTTCAGTGGTGAGGAAGGTGGTTTGAAGTCTTGCATAGGGGAGGGACACCCCTCTCCCTTCATTGTCTTGTTTCCTTGCTTTTTGGCTTAAAAGGGTAACATGCATGCTTGATCATTTTTGGCCTCATTTCAGAAGTTTTTTGGGTGTTTTGGGTCATATGTGATCTCTGTTTTTGGCCGGATTTGTACCCATTTGCATGCTTAATATACTTGCTTTACATTCCTCCATTTGGCCTAGAATTGTATCTTGTGTTTAGACCATGATTCTTGCATGTGTTGGCTTGGTTCCATAAAGGTGTTGGCATTATTTTACCATGTTTAAGGTCTGTTGGCCATTTATTTCAGTCATGCTTGCCTTGTTTGGTGTCACCTCTTTGTGTTTTGGCTTGTAAGCCTTGAGCATATTGACCTCCAACATGCATAGCCTAGGCCATCCTCATGATTTACCATCATTTAGGGTCATATTTCAGTCTATAAATCATGCTTGTATGCTTGCATTTGTGACCTCTTCCATGCTCTTAGGGTGTACCCTTTTATGCCTAGAAATGAGTCTTGGTGGATGCATTTCATGGGAGCCACCTAAGCTGTCATATTATGAGGTTTTGGAGTCCCTTTTTGCATGTTAAAATTCTGTTTTGGCTTGTCCAAGTCATGCCATGAGTGGTCATGTTGGTGGGAGTGAAGTGCCTCCTTTTTGTGCCTTAACCTTAGGACCATTGGCTTGCTTGTTGGCATGAGTATTGGTCCACCTTTTGGACACTTTTGGCCACTGTTTTGAGGTGGGTTAAGGTCTGCCCCTCTACTATTTTAAGCCACCATTGCATGCTTGTTTCATGTTTGTTGTATGGTTGCTTCATTAGGTGTTGTAGCATGATGATCCCATTGCTTAAATTGTCCATGTTTACATTGCATTTGCATCTTGTATGCCTAACATTGCATGCTTGCCATACTAGTTGCATGACACTTGGCATGCCTTGCATCTTGATATCATGTTGCATTTTGAGCCATGTTTGCATAACATGCATTGCATCACTTGGTTTGGGGTGTCAAACCAAGTGTGAGGGTTAAGGGGCGCTCATACCATAAGTGATGTAACGTGCCTTAACTCTCGGTCACTGGGGCCTTTGATTTCGACATGATAAAGTCTGGTCCTCATTTGTGTGATTGCATGCATTTTTACATCAAGTGGCAAGCTTGATCTCTTGGGCTATCATGCACCATTGATGGCTCGAGTATCGAGGGCCATGCTTCCCTGAGTTCAAAGCATGATGGGAAACATGACCATGCTCACATGTGCCTGAAATCCCATGCCATATACTGTCTGTTCTCTGTTGCTGTCAAAACTGTCTCCTGCAGGAAGTTTCTGCCGACCGGCAGAATTCAGTGCCGACCGGCCTTTAGTGAATGGCCGATAAATCGAGAAGCAGCCGGTGGAAATTATGCACTGCCGGTGGGAATTTCCC